TCCTCCCGCAAGGGCATCGCCTTCGGGAAGCGCTCCAACTCCATGAAGAGGAACCCCAACGCCGCCGTCACCAAGAGCGGGTGGCTCTACAAGCAGGTACAACCCACGTGCTGGGTGCTTCCCCCCCTCCCCGGGGGTGTCACCCCCCTTGCCAGCCCTGCTGGGTGCCTCCCCCCCCGGGAGCAGCCGTGCCCGTGGGCGCTGCCCTCACGGCCCCTCTCTCGCAGGCCAGCTCGGGGGTGAAGCAGTGGAACAAGCGCTGGTTTGTGCTGGTGGATCGGTGCCTCTTCTACTACAAAGGTACAGCCCTGAGCACCAGTCCCAATGCCCCCCCCAAAAAGCTCATGCCACTCCCCCAGCGTGACCCGGTGCCCACCAGCTGGGCGCCTCTGTGCGATCCCAGGCTCCTTCCGTGCTCAAAGGAGGGTGTGCCGGGGTGGGTGAAGGGGTCTGGGGGTCCCAGCACCCCGCTGTGGGGGTGTTCGCTGTGCTGGGGACCTGAGGGGTTAATGCAGAGCCTTCCCCGCCTCCCTGGCAGCTCCCGGGCTCAGCCCTGGGCGGGCATCAATAATTGAGGAGGCTGTTTGTGAGCCAGGCAGAGCTGCGGGAGCAACAGGCGGGCAGTGCATTCCCACAGGTGGGCTCCCTGTGTGTCCCCCTGGGAAGGAACAGTGGGATGGGGGTGGGTCTCTGCTGGGGGGGCAGCCAGAGCTCCCAACCCCTCTGTGTGTGTGTAACCCCAGCGTTCCCCCCCAGATGAGAAGGAGGAGAACATCCTGGGCAGCATCCCCCTCCTCAGCTTCCGCGTGGCGGCCGTGCAGCCCTCGGACAACATCAGCAGGAAGCACACGTTCAAGGTCAGGGGCTGGGAGGGGACAGGGCACTGGGACGGCACTGGGGTGGCACTGGGGTGGCACTGGGGTGGCGGTGATGCTGGCAGGGTCCCTGCTGCTCTTCTGGCTTTCTTGGTGACGGGGCTTGGAGCAAGCTGGGGTGAGGGCTGACTGTGTATCCCGGGATCCCCTGTGGATACGCCACGTGGATCTGCCTTCTGCCGGGGAAACTGAGGCACACGTGGGCTGAGCAGCATCCCCAAGGTCACCAACCCCTGCTGCTGCCCCCCAGTCCAGGGCAGAACTGGGTGCAGGGCCTTGCTGGATGCTCCTACCCCTCTCCCCATCCCAGTTTCCCCTCTCCATCGCTGCTCCCGCCAGCCTGTCCCACCGGCTGCCGCGGCGCTTCCTGGCAGCATTCCCAGAGCCAGGCATGGAGGTGTCCCCAGCTCCGGCTCTGCTTGAGCTGTTTGCCTGGGAAGTGTAACTGGAAGGGAGGAGCCCGTGATGAGTCACTGCCGTGGGGCTGGAGTGGAGAGCAGAGCAGGGAGAGGTGAGGGCGGCTGCTGCTCCCCCACGTCCATCCCAGGCGTCAGAGCAGGGGCTGAGCTTCCCTGGCACTTGTGGGCATCACTGGGCACCTTTGGCATCACGAGGCACTTTCACCAGCACAACTGCTCGTGCTGCCCGTGGTCGTGGGTCGTGTTGGCACCCATTTGTTGATGGGCCAATGCCCTTGTGCAAAAACCCAGCCTGCACCTTCCCGTGCCCACAGCCAGTGCTGGGTCCCTGCAGGGCACTGCCAAGGAGTGGTTCCAGCCTAGGGGATGGATTTTTGTAACTTCCACCCTTAAACCTGCAGCTGGGGGGACTCAGCCTGGAGAAAAGGAGGCTCAGGGGGAACCTTCTGGCTCTGCAACCCCCTGACAGGAGGGGGGAGCTGGTGAGGGGTCGGGCTCTGCTCCCAGGGAACAAGGGACAGGAGGAGAGGGAACGGCCTCCAGCTGTGCCAGGGGAGGGTCAGGTTGGATATTAGGGAAAAATTTCCTCCTGGAAAGGGTTGTTAAGCATTGGAAGGGGCTGCCCAGGGAGGTGGTGGAGTCCCCACCCTGGAGGTGTCCAAGGAATGACTGGACATGGCCCTCAGTGCTCTGGGCTGGGGGACAAGGTGGGGACTGGGCACAGGTTGGACTCAATCCTGGAGGTCTTTCCCAACCTCAAACATTCTGTGATTCTATGAAATGTCTCTGTGACACCGGTGGGGAAAAGCCTTGCAGAGCTGCTGCCCATGAGCTGAGCTCTGCTGAGCTCCATGCTGGTGTTCCCCAGGCTTTGGGAGGCTGGTTTTGGCCAGAGAAGGGTAGAGAGGGTCCCGAGGGCCGGGGGAGGTTCGTTCCTGCCCCGCTGACCCCGTGTCTGTGTTTCCTCCTCCTCTCTCTGCGGGTGAGGATCCCCGGACAGGAGGGGTCTCTTCGTGCCACCCACCACACCAGCACCCAGCCACCACCTAGGTAGTACCTTCTTGTGTTTCTGGTGCATGCAGAGGGTGAGGGACCCCCAGGCTCGCCCGCATGCTCTGCCCCCCCCACTCCCACTAATCCAGGGGGTGAATCCCTTTGATTGCATCTTTTCCTCTGGCTGCAGAGCTTGCAGAGGCAGGAGTGCATGGGGGGCTCAGGAGGTGACCCCCAACTGGGCACAGTGCCCATGTTCTGGGGAGGATGGAAACCCAAGGGAAGGTTTTAATCAATCAATAAAAAAACCCCAATTTTTTTTTAAAAATTTTTTTATTTTAAGAGATTGAGCCCTGAAAGTCTTTCAGGGGAAAAACCCTCCTGCTTCCCTCCTTTTCTTCCTCCTTGCATCTTCCCTCCTTTTCTTCCTCCTTGCATCTTCCCATCCCTTTCCAGAGAGGGGGAAGGTGGAAGCTTCAAAAAGGCCCTAAATAACCACATGCCTTCCAGCACGTTCTGGGTGGAGAATGGGCACCAACATCTTGGAGCAAAAGCAAACCTTTTGCTCCCCCCCCAAAAATATTTTTTGGGCCAAGAAACCACCTTCCCCCTCAGCCTGCATGGATGATGCTCCAACATTGCTGCTGCTCTCGCTGGGACATAAACCCTTCCCCAGCCCCCCTGTGCCCCACAGGGACCCACTTGGGGTGCAGCAACCTCTGTACTGGGGTGCTGCTCCTCTGCTGGGGGGCTCTGGGCAGGGCTGGTCCTGAACACCTCTGGGAGTGACCCCAGGGGGATCATGACCCCAGGGAAGCCCCTGTGAGGGGCCTGCAGAGCCTTCCTCCTGCTCGGCGGGAGGGTGCATGCGGCTGGGAGGCTCCTGCAGCGGGGAAGGACCACTCCTGGCTTCTCCCGCGCTGGCAGGACCTCGTGCCGGGGTGGAAGTGGAGCTCTCACCCTCCTGTCTCTCTCTCTCTGTCCCACTTGTGTGCCCCCCTGCAGGTGACGGTGTGCTGGGTGGAAGAGGTGCCGGCGAGTAACGGGCAGCCCGTGTCTCCCCAGGCCGAGCACGCCGGCATCCGCTTCTACTTCTTCAGCGCCGAGAACACGGAGGAGCAGGAATCCTGGATCCAAGCCATGGGCGAGGCCGCCCGGGTGCAGATCCCCCCGACCCAGAGGTCAGCGCCCACCAGCTCCCTGTGCCACCCCTCTGCCCCACTCTCCCAGGGATGGGGGGGGGACTTTTGGGATCGTGAGAGACCCTCTGGAGAAGGGAGCTGGGGTGGTGCCGGCCCCCCGAGGCCGAGGGGGGGTCAGGACTTTCCCGGCCACCCCGGGGGCATCACAGAGGGAAGGTGACCCCTCTCTCCCGTCTCGGCACCCCCCAGGCACGAGAAGCCGGACTCGGAGAACATCCCCCCCAGCAAACACCACCACCACCTGCACTGCAACAGCGCCCACCGCGAGCACCCCAAAGCCGAGCCC